AGTTTTACAAAGTAGCAAAGTAATCGTTTTAAGTAGAGAAGTAATCGTTCTAAGTAACACAGTTAATTAAAATAAGTGCTGTGTAATTTGCTGCAAAATATATATTTTCTTTTTGCATTTCTCCTGTCATTCATGATTGATCAATGAAAAGTTATTTTATTGCAAAATGAATGATTGGGTCGTCTGCAGTGACAATACAGAACAGGACTTGGAGGTTTGTAATCAATGTCGCTGGTCTTCATTTAAAAATATGAATTTAACACTAGAAAGATGGACTAAATTAGTAGTAGCACATCTTTCATGGACAATGCCTTTACTAAATAGGCTACCATATTTTCCATCTCTCATCTTCTGCTCTTGTCATTTTGTTATAAATCTTCACACACTCCCACTCCAGATTTGGCTTGCTGTGACTGCTGGCTTATTTTTAAAAGACTGTGGATGAGATTAAGGAGAATGAGATAAAGTAGTTGATTTAGCAACAACTCTAAGTAGAAGTTTATAAAGCTTTATTTGATTAATTCAGCTTTAGAACTAGAGTGATGGATGGTTACAAGCCAGAGGGGAGATGGGATGGGCTTATTCTATTGCCACAGTAATTCTAAGAAATGCCTTTGTAGATTATTTTTTAAAAAATGACATGGATGCTGGGACAAATATGTCAGATCAGTGAATATTGAAAAAGCAAAAAGCAGTGAATTTTTTAACTTTTCATCTAAGAAATTTTACAATATTTAATCTGTGAAATTTTACAATTTTTAATCTGTAATATCTGTGATATCACAGGTAGGATTTATTAAATCTAACAACACTATAAATCAATTAAGTAACTGCATATATAGCAATTACTAAAAGCACTTACAAGAATTTACTGGAAATTATTTTACTACAGAAATAATTGGCAAATTATGTTAATATATAAATGCATTACTAATGATTTTACTATAGAATGCATTAAAAATAAAAAAGAAATAGATTGTCCCTGGTCAGATAGAATAGGACTATTATATGTATAATGTAAACACATTGCTAATGATTTTACTATAGGAATGCATTGAAAATGAGGAAGAAAGGGATTGTCAGTGGTCAGGAATGAATGCAAGCATTACTGACAGAATTGGTCTATTATATTTATAATGGAAATGTATTGCTAATGATTTTACTATAGAAATCCATTGAAAATAAGGAAGAAAGGGATTGTCCATGGTCAGGAATTAATGAAAACACTACTAGCAGAAAAGAGACTATTATATGTAGAATGTCATTGATTCCAGGCAATTCTGGGTGATCCTGATAAAATATCTATAAAAGATTTCACCATTAATTGTTGATGGTTTTTGATTTGCTATTCTTAGAAAGATTGAATATCTCCAAAAGGAGAATATATGTATATTAATCTGTTTTTTCATTGGCAGAATGTAGCGATTTAATTATTGGCCAATCAGAATTCATCTTTCTTAATGAGTGTTGGCCTCAGATAAAACATGGAGGATTAATTGGTAAATTTGATTTGTTACTTATTTTTGGTCATTTGGTCTCATATCCTGGTCAGACAGGAATCAGAGAAACAAGTATAATGAGTAAGTAGTGCTTGAGGAAATTGACTTTGTGATAGAACGTTTATGACAGTGATGGAAAAGAAAGAAAGAAAGAAAGAAACATATATATATATATATATACAAAAAAAGAAATGGGCAGGAATAAGAAAGAAAGAAAGAAAGAAAGAAAGAAAGAAAGAAAGAAAGAAAGAAACATATATATATATATATATATATATATATATATATATACAAAAAAAATGGGCAGGAATGAAAAAGAAAGAAAGAAACATATACAAAAAGAAATAGGCAGAAAGAAAGAAAGAAAGAAAGAAAGAAAAAAAGAAACATATATATATATATATATATATAGATAGATAATATTAGTGGAAAATTTTGGATCGTATTTACGATTCCAATGGAATAAATTATGACCATGGAATATTAGTGTTTAAGCCTTTTTATTATATATATATATATATATATATATATATATATACAAAAAGAAATAGGCAGGAATAAGAAAGAAAGAAACATATATAAAAAGAAATAGAAAGAAAGAAAGAAAGAAAGAAAGAAATATATATATATATATATATATATATATATATATATATATATATACAAAAAGAAATAGGCAGGAATGAGAAAGAAAGAAAGAAAGAAAATATATAAAAAAGAAATAGGCAGAAAGAAAGAAAGAAAGAAAGAAAGAAAGAAAGAAAGAAAGAAACATATATAAAAAGAAATAGGCAGAAAGAAAGAAAGAAAGAAAAATATATATATATATATATATATATATACAAAAAGAAATAGGCAGGAATGAGAAAGAAACATATATAAAAAGAAATAGAAAGAAAGAAAGAAAGAAAGAAAGAAACATATATATATATATATATGTACAAAAAGAAATAAGCAGGAATGAGAAAGAAAGAAAGAACATATATAAAAAGAAATAGGCAGAACTTCTGCCTACAACTGATGGTGTAACCACATTTAGTGGTCTGGTCCTCAGGGTCTTAGGACGAAGTTTTAACCACAGGGTTAACTCTGAGCTCGTCAATGTTGACGCTTGTCCAAGCTGGTTGTTGGTTGCTTTGATCCACAGCAATTCTGCCCACGTTGTGTTCTTGATCTCAGAGCAGTGGAAGATCGAATGTTGTAGTAACCACAGCACTAGTTCGAGCTGTGGTGGGTGCTACATTAAGGGAAGAAATATCAGATTTATAAGGTTAATCTTCAATTTGTTTATATAGTTCTTGGTACAACAAAAATTAACCATTCCTGCATCTATCTCTTTAGTGACACTGTATCTTGCCTAATATTTGGGGTTCAAAGTTCTTCAGAATCAGGAAATCTGGTGGTAGCTGATGGGGATTCCAGAGGCACTTGATGCAGGATTCGCAGCCCAGGTCCTCAAGCTCTCAGAGCTATCTGCATTTCGGCCCAAAACTGGGGAGTCGATGATTCTTCAATTTTCACATTAATCTCAATAAGGGTTCTTTGTTCCCTATTTCTGCTTTCTTAATCAACTTTCCAAATTTGGAGAATTATCCACCTTTTTGGGAGTTGTTACAGGGATTACTCTTCCACTAAATTCCCACCTGCTTCACTTTACATCTCACACTTCCACTCCTCACAGGTGGCAATAAACTTTTCCTTTTCCTCTTTCTTTCTTAGTATTCAACCTCAGCCTACCTCCCAGGGCAGACATAACTGTCTTTGTGACAATTCTAATTTTCAAAGCGTGTGGGTAAAAGAGTATAGTCTTATTCTAGTCATTAATTTTAATTCTCTTGATTTCTTGAGGAAGAGATAAAATTATTTCTCCATTCCTGGGCTTATCTCAGTCTAGCGAAAACATAAACCAGATCATCTGCTCGTCAACAACAGGATCCGTTTTCATAACTTTGACCCGCAAACAAGGATTGTTCTTTATTTAAATGTCCCAATTTCTTTTTGGCAACTATAAAATATAAGCCCTGTCTGTCTCTCTTCTCGTTAATGATATGTGTCTTCTTAATTTCTCAAAGAAGAGATAAAACTATTTCTTCACATCTGTTTTCGTCCGCATGCCAGACTCTCAATAGAAAAAATTTAGGAGAGAAGAAATCCAGATGGCCCCATTTTCACCAAGGAAAATGTCTGTCTGTCTGTCTGTCTCTCTCTCTCTCTCTCTTTCTCTATCTCTATCTTCAGCTTATATTCTATTTTAGGCTTAACCCTTTGCTGCTCACAATTAATATTTAACCACTTCATGGCCTCAGTGTCACAAAGAAAGAAAGAAACAATGAATGAGCGAAAGAAAGAAAGAAAGAACAAAAGTAATAAAAAGCAGGAAATAAAGAAAGAAAGCAAGAAAGAAAGAATGTTCTTTCTTATGGGCTATAGCAATCACATTATTATTATTAAGCTATGTTCTTTTGAAGTATGTAGTTTGGTACAAGACCAAGATAATGGAGCACATAAAGAGAACCGAATTCAACATAAAAATTACATAAAAAATAAGTATATTAATATCATTAAATGAAATGTATCAAATTTGATCAACTGAACTTAGTTTGGCACAAGGTTGCTATAATGGAGCACCTAATATGAACTTTTAAACTTGGGGCCATCAGTAACTGCTATATTTAGAATTTGATGGAATTTCTTTTCGATTTACTCACTGCATGTGGATGGACTTTTCAGCTTTGAATATCAAAGAATTTCACATTTTTTGGTTTTCAAGAAAATCTGACTTGTAGCATTTATTATATTTCAGTTTTATCCAAAGAGGTCAGAGATCAAACCAGGATATAAACCAAGTTTTGAATGCTGGTTTTGGCAAAAGGAGGAACACTACTAAGGGCCATGAAAGATAGGTAGTTTGCAGTGAGTAGTTAAAGCACTTCTCGCCTGTAGAACTCTGTTCTGACTTTTTGCTTCCCAGTTAACTTTGATAATCAAAAATTTTAATGCAATACCATTTGTTATCTTCTATCATCTTAATTCTTATTCTTTTATTGTCCTTTCTCCTTAATAGTATATTTTTCTGATATTCTCTCAGACTCAGTAACCCTTGGTATCTTAGTGGCTTTATTGCCTTACTTGGGGTGAAAAGTTTAAAAAAAATATTTCCAATTCATCTAATCTCATTTCTAGAGGTTTTTTGTACTTTTCCAAGTGCTCTAATCATTATAGGCATGACTTTCATTTTTTATTTGATATATATTTGGATTTTCCCATCTTTTCAATTTCTTGTCTTTACTCTCTGTTCCATTGTTAACACCAAATATTTTAGTCATACTTTTTCTTACTTGCAGTTCTCAAATCTGGTCAGCTTGCCTGGCTGGGACAGTCAGTCTAGATCTCAGAGTGTCTAATGATCCCGTCCCTTTTATTTTCACTATCAACAATGTTTACATGATTGAATGCAATTTGTTACTACTGTTCTCAGTGTATCACAAATCCTACCCCGACATGTCTCCTGTTTTAATTCCTTTTAATTTTCCTTTTTTCTTTCCTTCCTTCATTATTTTCATCCCACTTTTCAGGGTTTTTTTTTCAGTTTTGCTTTCTCCTTCTCTCTTTGTTTTATTTATTTTTACTTTCTTTCATTTCTTTCTTTTGTTTTTTACTTCTTTTTATTCATTTTTCCTTTCTTTTTGTTTGTTTTCTTTTTTATTCATCTTTTCTTTTTCTTCTTTTTTCTTTCTTCTTTTTCTTCATCTTTTCTTTTTCTTCTTTTTTCTTCTTTTTATTCATCTTTTCTTTTTCTTCTTTTTTCTTCTTTTTATTCATCTTTTCTTTTTCTTCTTTTTATTTATCATTGCTTTTTATCTTTCTGTCTTCTTCTTTCCATTATTTGTTTTCTTTTTTCTTTTTGCCTTTTTATACATCTTTCTTTCCTTAACTTCTTTTTCTCTTTGTTTCATCTTTCCTTTCTTCCTGTTATAACCCAACATATAAGGAACAACAAAATATAACAAAACACACTTAAATATATTTAAAAAACACAACACTATTTGTTTTTATTCTCACCAACCAGGATACAGCAGGATTGGGTTGGATAAACAATTCACTGTCTATTGGTGGCGTATTGTCCAGCAGCCATATTGTTGTCTGATTCTACCCTTTTTTCGTGAAGAGTCAATGATACATTAGGGGAGAGTTGTCTCACCTAACACTTCCTTTTTTTTCTTTTTTTTCATATTTGATTTCTTCCTTTCTTTGTTATGTTTTTATCTTTCTATTCATCCTTATTTCCTTCTTTCTTCTTCTTCTTTCTTTATTTTCATTCTACCTTTCTTTTCCCTTTTTATTCTTTCTTACTTTCTTCTTTCTCCTATTATTCATTCTTTCTTTCTTTTTTCTCCTTTTCATTTGTCCTTCCTTTTTTTTGTCTCCTTTTCATTTGTCCTTCCTTTCTTCTTTACAGTTTTATCTTTTTACCCACTTTATTTCCTTCTCTCTTCTTCTTATTCAGCTTCCTTGTCCTTATGTTAAAATTAGCGACTCCCCATATGAGTTGTAAACAGAAGAACAAAAGACAATGCAAACGAAAGATTAAAGACATACTTTTATACAAATAGAAAGAGAAAATGGAATTGCTAAGCTTACTTCTTTAGCAGTTTAATGTCAGTTCAGAGGAACAAAGTCCAATACATGAATCTGTTTGAAATAGATAGAAACACTTACCTAAAGTTGATCATATCTCTTCTTCCAATGTCTGCTTGTCGAGGCATTAACATGTCTATTCACTTTTGCTTGTAGCCAGCATCACCTGTTCTTTGGAGCAGGCTAAAACATGTCTTTTCATCTCAGTGGTCTTCAGGCCTCTCTTTTGGCACCTCAAATTCATTTGGTCCCTAAATTTGGGTCTTACCCATTATTACCAGATAAATAGACTCATCTCTTCCTATCAGGGATCTTATCAACCAAGGGGAGATAACCTATATTTTTCATATTATCTATAAATGCTATAACAATGTTTTTTTAATACTTTGCTTGATTTATATAAGGCATCTTTTGCTGTTCCAATGTGCATTCAGATTTCAGAGTTACATCTGTCCACTGTTAAAACATGAGTTCAGTTTCCAAACTATGTAAAGTAATTAGGGAAAAATTAGCAACTCTTCATATGAGTCATAAAATGAGGAACAAAAGACAAGGCAAATGGAAAGTTTGATGACATACTTTTATATAAATAGAACATTTATACAAATAGAAAGAGAAGATGGAATTGCTAAACATATTTCTTTGGCAGTTAATGTCAATTCATCAGGGACAAAGTCCAATACATGTATCTGTTTGAAATGGATAAAAACTCTTATCTGAAGTTGTTCATATCTCTTCTTCCAATGTCTGCTTGTCGAGGCATTAACATGTCTATTCACTTTTGCTTGTAGCCAGCATCGCCTGTCCTTTGGAGCAGGTTAAAATGTGTCTTTTCATCTCAGTGGTCTTCAGGCCTCTCTTTTGGCACCTCAAATCCATTTGGTCCCTTAATTTGGGTCATACCGATTATTAGCAACTACATGAACTTGTGGGGTAGTTAATGGTGTTGGTTAGGAAAGAATCAGAAAGGTTTTTGGTCAAGGTTGCGTTTTTACATTAACACTCCACTTTAAATTTGTAAAGGAAACACAAAAATGAATGACGAGAGATCAATGAAAATCAACAAGTAAACATGTATTTAAAACAAGCATATACATATAATTCTGTTAATAACAATAAAGATTAAGTTACACAAAGTGGTTTCCCTTGTATTGTGTGAAGAACAAATGTATGTTGTAATAATGTCTTTTGTTTAAATTTGTTGGTAGTTTAAGAATGTTTCATGTTTGAATTTGAAAGTTGAAATATTTGTGCAGAAGAATGATATAGTTTGAATAATTGACTTGGTTTGTAAACAGACAGTACACTGTGTTGTGTCAGTGTAGTTTATATCTGTGTGTGTTTGTGAGTAGAAAATTGAATATACACGTACCTGGTTTAAGTTGTGACAATTTATAATCTACTGAAGTTTTTTCTTTAATTTCTACTTTTTATAGATATAAGGTGGCTCCCAGAACAAGTGCAGGAAGGATATTGAAGAAAGTGTCATTTAATGTGATTGGTCAAAAATCAACCAATCGTTGATTTTTTCCTATAGCTAGTTTGGTGAAACAAAAACATGAGAAATTTTTATGTGGCTCGTGCAATGCGTAAATTGTCTGTACAAAAGCTATTGTTTATTTTCCGTCCAATTACTGTTAAGTGATTTGTGGGTGTGGTGTACGTAGGCGTCCACTACAGACTCATCTCTTCCTATTAGTCAAAACTAATATTTTTTATATCCTTTCTTTGTTTTTCTCTTTATTAGTATTTGCTTTCCTTTATCTTTTTATCTCCCTTTCCTCCTCTTTACTACGTCCTCTTCTTTTTCTCAAAAATTCTTTCTCTCACCCTCTTCCTGCCTAACACCCCAACCAAGCAATAACGCTATTACAGTTTTACAATACAAAATTCTTTTCATTGCATAAAAATGGCAATTAACAAACAATCTTCATTAGATAGAGAATCCCTTTTTGTTCTCTATCAGCATGGCTAATGCTAACCTCCAGGAAAGAAACTCATGGCATCTTCACGCGCTAACGTTTTCCACTAAATTGAAATGGAAATATTATATCAAATCAATTGCTAGATCTGCTGCTAAGAAAGTTTTGTGTTGTGCTAGATAATTTTTCTCACCAGAATCTATCTTATATATATATAAAGTCAACCATTCATTCATACTCAAAATATCTAGTCTGGTGTTTCTATTATATATTCAGAGATACTTGATAAAATATAAAGAAGACTCTGCAATGCTATTAGTCCTGACCTGGCATCTCACCTTCAGCCACTTTTCCAACACCATTATGTAGCTTGCCTCTGCTTTATTTTTTATAAATACTTTCATGGTAATTTTTCTGATGAACTTTCTTTTATGGTATCTAGAATTTATGAATTTAAGTGCAGTACTACATTGGCAGTCAGGTCCCATCATTTTACAATTGAAATGGCAAGATGTAACCACAAGTTCTATATTAACAGTATCTTTTCTTGCACTTCTCACTTGTGGAAATCTCTTTTGTGTCCATGTTTTCCAGTCAAGTTTGATCTTCAAAAATTTAAATGCAATGCCAATTGTTATCTTCTGTCTTCTTAATTCCTCTTCTTTTATTGTTCTGTCTCCTTAATAATGTTTTTCTTTTGCTCATATTCTTTCACACTCAGTAACCCCCCCCACACACACACACACAGACACTGCATCTTAGTGGCTTTATTGCCTTGCTTGGAGAGAAGTGATTAAAATTTAAATGCAATGTCCATCATTATCTCCTGTCTTCTTAATTCCTATTCTTTTATTGTTCTTTCTCCTTAATAATGTTTTGCTTTTTCTCATATGCTTTCACACTCGGTAACCCCCACTTGCGTCTTAGTGACTTTATTGGCTTGCTTAGAGAGAAATGATTAAAATTTAAATGCAATGTTAACTATTATCTTCTGTCTTCTTAATTGCTCTTCTTTTATTGATTCCTCTCCTTGATAATGTTTTTCTTTTTCTTATATTCTTTCACACGCAGTAACTCCCTGTGTCTTAGTGGCTTTGTTGCCTTGTTTGAGGTGAAATGATTAAAAGATAGAATCTTCATAATTCATGCATTGAATACTGCTGCCATATCAGGCCTGGTGCTCCTGTTTATAATTTCAAGGTTCTTGACAAAACCCAAAGAGGGATCTGCAATGTAAACGATCCTGACATGGCAACTCAACTTCAGTCACTTTCTCACCAGCATGACATGGCTTCACTCTGTCTTTTTTACAAATATTTTCATGGCAACGGCTCTGACGAATTTTTTCCCCTGGTGCCCTGACTACATGAATTTAAGCGTGCTACTAGATTGGCATCAAGGTCAAACCCAATTAAATGCAACCGCTACTTCTACTCTAATAGTTTTTCTTTCTCGCACTTTACACCTGTGGTACTCCCTTCCGTTTACTTGCTTCCCTGATAACTATAATCTTCAAAAATTTAAATGTGACGTCAATCGTCATCTACTATCTTCTTGAATCCCATTCATCTTTGTCTTTTTCTCAATCCTCTTTATACTCAGTCTTTTCTATCACTTTCATTACTTTTAACCCCCTGCATACTAATGACATTTCCGATTTGCTTGAGGTGAAATGATTAAAAAATTACAAGTTCAAAATAAGTTTTACAAGAAACAGTTTCATTTAACTAAAACCATCATTCTACATATTGGCTGCCTCTTTCTCAGAATAAAATAGAAATAAGAGATTTTCTTATTTTTCTAAAGATAACATCAAAATTTTAATAAGACATTAAAACAAGTTTAAATATATTTCAGATTTCATTTTTTTTGTTTTCTGTGGGTGGTGTTATATTAAGACTATGGTGGCAGAACAAAGAAGGACAACGAAGGTTTAATAAACATAAATATAAACAAATGATAAATCAGTGTAAATGTCTCTTTGTAAAAGGCATCCACAGAGATGTACGGAAGGAGATGGGGGATGAGTTATGACTTACTGGGGCGACGGCCTTTGGCGAGCTGTCTTTTGGAGATGAGAGGTCGCTTTCCGACGAAGTCTGTGAACTGAGCCAAGAAGGAACCCAACTGCCGAAAATGTCCCTTTGATAGGTTTTTATGTCCTTTCTTAGACTAAATCGGTTCCTTTTTTTTTTTTTTTTTTGTTTCTTTAGACATGAGTGGGTGCTATTGGGTAGAAATTCCAGATTGTATTTCTTCTTTTTTCTTTTTTTTTTTTTTTTTTTTTTTTTTTTGAGTGTGTGAGTAAAAACGGAAAGTATGTGCAGAGCCTATGCGCAGTTGCCGGAATTTTATTTCATTCTTGGGTTTCGGAGCGTTCACAACCCACCAGTGGTGGAAATTAGTGTAGCGAGAATC